ACATACGCCTCTTCTTCTTCTGCTTTCACCTCAAATTCTATATCGATTGGATCTCCACTCTAAATCAAGGAAATGAGAGAAAATATCATCTGTAAAATGTAAGATTTATGATTGTGACATCACACACAAAATCCACACATTGTCTCCCTTCACAGAAGCAGATCACATGTGATATGTCGGTACATTTCCCCTAAATACCGCATGCCATCCTGAAACTGTCCATTTCCTATCCCGTGTTGCGGTATTGACCACAAACACTGAACACGCTCAGTAAATACCGCATGAACAGGCGTTACATTCACAGAAGGAAATAAAGAATGAAATGCATGCGGTCATTAATTAGTGGTGGAGACATGCGGCATTCAGGAAATGTGTACTGCTTGGTAAAGAGTGGGCGGCCGCTGGCATCCTTAACAACCAGTAACACAACATGGTTGTTAGGGAGCGAGCGGCTGCTCGTCCTGTACAAACCGATAAAAAAAAAAAAAGAATTACCGGCAATACCAATACAATTAAAAAATGGGTGGATCCCCCTTGGGGGTCTTATGGATTTTGACAATCTAGAGGGACCCCTTGCCAAAATGAAAGAAATACATACCAGACCCAATCTGAGCATGCAGCACAGGCAAGTCAGGAAAGGGGGGTAGGGACGAGCAAGTGACCCCCCCTCCTGACAACATACCAGGCCACGTGCCCACTGGAGTGGACTGCTGACTCAGAAAGGAGAGCTTTGCTCAGGGTCCCAAAGGAGAGGAGACCTTGTCCATGTTGATGGGGGGGACTGTTTCCAGACATGGGTGACAGCCTAGTGGGGAGAAGTCAGGCAGAGTCACTTACATGGGAGGAGGAGACAAGGGGGCATCCTAGAAGAAGGAGGTCATGTGATGAGCATGAATGTGCAGTGGTTGCCTACTTTATATTAGGTCAATGTATGGTAGGCAGTTCATGGTGGACAAGAAAGTACGTCATGCAGTCTTTTGACAAGATCCTTTGCGCAAAAGGCCAGTGGAGGGCTTGGCAGAGGCAGGGTGGCCCACTCTCGATGGAGCGGTTGGAGGAGAAGTTCCTCTGTGGCAAGCAGCTCGCACTTGAGGATGACATGGAGCGACTGCAACTGCACTCCAAGCCTCATTGTGCCGAGTTCTGGTTTACACTTCTGGTTTCCGGCTTCTGCGGCACCACTTTGAGGGGAAAGGTTCAGGAGGGGTCGCTCTCCATCCGCTGAGAGGAGACACCCTCTCCACTGCCAGGGGGGACTGTTAAGGACTTTGGGGTAAGAACTGTATTTTGGCGATGTTGCGGAGGTCACTGTAACTGAGTTTAAAGATTGAGGGGGGGCCATGAAGGATACTGAGAAATGGAGTATGAATATGACGTGTACAAGTAATGGCATCTGCCCCTCCCACTGTATTTTAGTGGCATATGGCACATGTTGGACTGTGTAATGGTGTATCCCCCTGATGGGTACTCCATTATTGTGGGGGAAGACAAGTAATGGTTTTGGAGACTCCCCTGTCACTTTAAGGAATGGAGTATGACATCCAGTGTATACAGTAATGTATATGGCCCTCCCCTGGGGGTGAGCCATTATATGGATTGACGTGTATTCAGTAATGTATAGATCACCCTCCCCTGTACTCCATTTGTAGGTGACGTGTATACAGTAATGGGGGTCCCCTGTACTCCATGGGCATAGTGATGTGACGTGTATAGAGTAATGTATATCCCCCCTCCCCTGTACTCCATTATAGTGACTATGAAGACTGTATACAGTATGTATACGCTGCCCCCAGCACATTTGTGATGACAGGTAGAGATGAGAGCCATATCTGTGTACTCACATTCTCTGAGTGATATGGGTATGTTTACAGTGGGGGCCTATCCCCCTCCCCTGTACTCCAGAGAGGTGAAGGAGTATACAGTAATGAGTATAGTGGCCCCCTCCCACTGCTACTCCATTTGTGATTGACAGGTATACAGTAATGTATATTGGTAAGTACTCCATTATAGTGATGTGACGTGTGTACAGGGCAATGAATATCCCCCTGTCCCCTGTACTCACTCTTTAGTGATGTGACATTGTACAGCTGTAATGTATAACCCCCCTCCCCTGTTCCATTATAGTGATATGACATGTAAGGCGACACATGTCCTGTATATCCCCCCCCCCCTGTACTCCATTATAGTGGCATATGACATGTATACAGTAATGTATATCCCCCCCCCCTGTACTCCATTATAGTGATATGACGTGTATACAGTAAAGTAAATACCGCAGTATAGCCCCCCTCCCTGTACTCCATTATAGTGATATGACGTGTATACAGTAATGTATATCCCCCTCCCCTGTACTCCATATAGTGATGCCCTTAAATGACGTGTATGGGGCAGTAATGTATATCCCCCCCTCCCCATGTACTCCATTATAGGATGATATGACCCACATACAGTAATGTATATCCCCCCTCCCCTGTACCCCATTATAGTGATATGACGTGTATACAGTAATGTATATCCCCCCCTCCCCTGTACCCCATTATAGTGATATGACGTGTATACAGTAATGTATATCCCCCCTCCCCTGTTCACTCCATTATAGTGATATGACGTGTATACAGTAATGTATATCCCCCCCTCCCCTGTACTCCATTATAGTGATATAACATGTATACCCCCCCAATGTATATCCCCCCCCCCTGTACTCCATTATAGTGATATGACGTGTATACAGTAATGTATACCCCCCTCCCCTGTACTCCATTATAGTGATATATGACGTGTATACAGTAATGTATATCCCCCCTGACCCTGGTGCCCCCTACTCCATTATAGTGATATGACGTGTATACAGTAATGTCATAAATTGGTCCCCTGTACTCCATTTAGTGATATGACGTGTATACAGTAATGTATATCCCCCTCCCCTGTACGTCACAAGATAGGATATGACCTGTATACAGTAATGTATATCCCCCTCCCCTGTAGATCTCCTTATAGTGATATGACGTGGGATACAGTAGCTGTCCAAGTCCCGCTCCCCTGTAATCCATTATAGCCCTATGACGTGTATACAGTAATGTATATCCCCCCTTCCCGTACTCCATTATAGTGATTGGATGACGATGGATCTACATCAGTAATGTATATCCCCCTCCCCTGTATTTATAGTGATTGTCACGTGTTTAGTTCCATGTATATTTTTACTCAAGATGAATAGGGGTACTATGTACTCTATACCATTCACAGTGATGTGACGTGTATACAGTAATGTATATCCCCCCCCCTCCCCTGTACTCCATTTATAGTGTTATGACTGTATACAGTAAATGTATATCCCCCCCCCCCCACAGTACTCCATTATAGTGATATGACGTGATACAGTAATGTATATCCCCCTCGACATGGACTCCAGGTATAGTTTGACGGGTATACAGAGTGCCCCTCCCCCTGAAGCACCTGTTCTCCATTTGAGTATGTGACCTGTATGGTTCAGGAGGAAGGTGGGCACTCACCCTGTACTCCATTATATGATTGACGTGTAACCACATGTATTTTTTTATTATTTTGGCATCGGGGTGTTCACATGTAAAGGTGGCTAATCATTGCTGTAGACATGTCACAGTTGTCAGCGGGGAACTTGGCGAAAAATTTACTGGTTGTTGGGGGACACTGGGGGCTGACCTCTCTGCCTTAACAACAAGCTACATTTACAAGTGTTGGGTGGGGCACACCAGTGGAGAAAGTTTTGTGCAGGAGGTTCACTACAAAATGAATGCAGCATCTTACTACATACTGGGATACGGTAAGATACCGCTTTGTGATTGGAGCCCATAGTCTCTACAAGTCCATGTTCTAGATGCTCCATCCCACCAACCTTGTAATAGTGAGGGATGGTGTGACCTTCCTGTGTGGAATCCTGGGAATACAGAGGACGGGGACATCTCTCTGGTGGGTTCCTGGTATTAGGTGGCTCCATCATATCCTTGTGTCCTTCTGAAAACTCCTCCATCACTCCATACTCCTCATCCTCCTCTTTATACTCTTCTTTAACATCAATATTATCATCCCCGAGGATTCCACTCTGAAAGATATAATAAAACATTCATTGTAACAAACATGCTGTGTATAAATCACAACTACCAATAATTGTCATCATCTACCTGATGATGGTGAGGGATGGTGTGACCTTCCTGTGTGGAATCCCGGGAATACAGAGGACTGGGGACATCTCTCTGGTGGGTTCCTGTAGCTGGATGACTCCACCATGGTGTCCTGGTACAGATCTTTGTGTTCTTTTAGAAGCCTGACTCCTCCATCCCCCCATCCCTCATCCTCCTCTCTTTTATCTCTTCTTTAACCTCAACTTTAGGATCTCTCAGGTTTCCACTCTGAATATATAATAAAAATGACATCAATGGTAACAATGCAGATAATGTACAGATCCTAATGATACTACCAGTGATTGTTCCTCATCTACCTGATGATGGTGAGGGATGGTGTGACCTTCCTGTGTGGAATCCCGGGAATACAGAGGACGGGGACATCTCTCTGGTGGGTTCCCATGACTGGATCCATCTGTAGGAAACACACACACTGACTGAATCCATTGTTTCTATGTGTTTATCAGATGATGGGGGATCTAGGTGGATCCTCCGTACTGCTCTCTCCTTTACAATAAAGTCTCCTCTTACCCGGTGATGTGAGGGGCGGCTGATTGTCCATCATGACGTCCTTGTAGAGATCCTTGTGTCCTTCTAAATACTCCCACTCCTCCATGGAGAAATAGACAGTGACACCCTGACACCTTATAGGAACCTGACACACACAATGATACAGTCACCATCCAGACACATCCCTTGTCTGTTACTGGAGAATGTCCCAGAATTCCCGGCACCGCTCACCTCTCCTGTCAGCAGCTCAGTGATCTCTCTGGTGACTTCTAGAATCTTCTTCTTCTTTCTCTCTTCTATCAGGGAGGGAGGTGGAGGCAATGTGATGTCATATGATCTCCAGACTTCACAGGAGGAAAACTCTACATCTGACACAAAGAGAAAAATCAAATGATATTCCCAGAATCCTCCTCACCTCTCCATTCAGGTCTCCATTTTATTAAAGCCCCACTTCAGGCTGAGGTATAATTCCCCCCCACAGGACCCCCACACATAAAACTGAACCATGTAGGCCAGCTTTGGGAGCAAATAACATATTATCATCAACTCCTCCCCCTGAAGGGGTTCATCTACGTATTACCTCCTCTGCTATCAGATCCAGGAATGTCTCGTCTTTACTTCCTCATTCATGGAACTTCCTGTTTGTATCTGACATCACTTCCTGTCTTCCATAGAGACTTCCTGTTTGGATAGAAGTGAGATCGTGGTTGGAGGCGGAGTCTAGGAGGGAGACTGACAGAACCCGCAGCCGACTTGCAGGAGTGAGCGAGGAGGATCCGGTTCCTTTACCATCGGAGATGAGGAGAGTGTGAAGGATGTTTGTGACTCTGGGAGCTGAAAAGCTGGGAGTCCTATTTGGTGTGGTGAGGGGGAAGCACTACTAGGGGGGCCCTCACCATCCCGTGTACAAGAGGTGGAAGAAGGCGTGGCTACACTACAGATAACACAGTTTGGAGGGCGGAGCACTTTCCCACCTTATCAACATTTCACTGATTGGTGGATTTTTGGAGTAAAATAAGTGGATTGAAGTAGCTGCAAAGTGGAAGCAGTGGACTTGCAGAGAACACTATACTGAGCACACAATATTGTCCGTCTCCATGGATTTGCACAGGATTTGAGATGATTTCCTATAGCAGCAAATCTGATGAGATGAATGAAGTGGGTGTAAAGTGGAAGCAGTGGATGTGCAGGGAGCAGCATCTTGAGCACAAAGCACTTTATGTTGTGGATTGATTTGCACACGGTTCAGTTTCCCTTCATTTATTGATAAACCCCATAAGACCAATGAAGTGGGTGTAAAGTGGAAGCAGTGGATGTGCAGAGAATAGGATTTGGAGCCCCGAGCTCTTTATCTGTGAATGTCGCCACATATTTGTAGTGTATTTGTGATGATTTCTGTGCACACACAATAGGACAGCGCTGTGACACATAATGCTCTTCTAGATGACAGGGAATCCTTCCCTTTGTTACAGCAGCAGTCCGCTAGAAGGTTTTTGTAGGTTTGGAGTTGTTACACATAGCGCGGGTTTTATCCATTTATAGTGATGACATCATTGCCCAAATCTGGGGGTCACCAGCCATTTCCACCCTTTACTCCCAGCTGGGGGGCTTTGTATCCATATACCAGATGTTCTACAGGACTAAATCTGCAATCAATGTTACTGCAAAATCAAAGGGGCCAAAATCCCTCCCCCCGAGGAGTCATATATTTCTGTCCCCCTTGGTGGGAGTGGAGGTGACCCCTCTATAAGGATCTACAGTCCATACACACCCAGCACAAGGCCGGGGTCACACTACCAGACGCTTCTCGGGGCTGCAGTTCCTCTGAGCTCCACAAGGTGGGGATCTCACTTCTACCCAGACAGGAAGTCTCTATGGAAGACAGGAAGTGATGTCAGGTACAGCCAGGAAGCAGATTGGAGACATTGCTGGACGTGGCAGCAGAGGAGGTAATAAGATGTTATTTCCTATTTATACCCAGTAACCCCCATCATGTCTGTCCTCTTCCTCCATAGTCACGTCCGTCCTCTTCCTCCATAGTCACGTCCGTCCTCTTCCTCCATACTCACGTCCGTCCTCTTCCTCCACAGTCACGTCCGTCCTCTTCCTCCACAGTCACGTCCGTCCTCTTCCTCCACAGTCACTTCTGTCCTCTCCCTCCACAGTCCCGTCCGTCCTCTCCCCCTCCACAGTCCTGTCCGTCCTCTCCCTCCACAGTCCCGTCCGTCCTCTCCCTCCACGGTCCCGTCCGTCCTCTCCCTCCACGGTCCCGTCCGTCCTCTCCCTCCACGGTCCCGTCCGTCCTCCTCCCTCCACGGTCCCGTCCGTCCTCTCCCCTCCACGGTCCCGTCCGTCCTCTTCCTCCACGGTCACGTCCGTCCTCTTCCTCCACGGTCACGTCCGTCCTCTTCCTCCACGGTCACGTCCGTACCTCTTCCTCCACGGTCACGTCCGTCCTCTTCCTCCACGGTCACGTCCGTCCTCTTCCTCCATAGTCATGTCCGTCCTCTTCCTCCATTGTCACGTCCGTCCTCTTCCTCCATAGTCATGTCCGTCCTCTTCCTCCATAGTCACTGTGACGTCTTTTATCTCCAGCAGATGATGATACACACATATATAGTGTGGAACCCAGATTAACCCCTTCAGGGGCAGAACATTCCCCCCACTTCCGGGGCCGGAACATTCCTCCTCATTGTGAGAATAAATTCTAGTAAAATGGTCCTCTAAACAAACAGCACTGACAATAAAATAGACAAGACAAGGACCATCCTGACCATAAATGGCCTACAAAGGGCAATGATGACACTACACACACAGGCAGCCAATGGCAAGTCATTACACTCTATGCAGCCAACACAATGATGGAGTGCCGGGTCAGGATATGAGCATAGAGCCCTTACATTGCTGCTCAGGAGGAAGGAAACATTCCCCAGCCGGCCATGAAGAATATGTCAGAGGAAGTAGAGGCAAGGGTCTCTCAGGGGGTACTGAGGATGAGGAACTTTGTGGCCCCTGAGGGGGTAGCAGGGCCTTAAGGAGGTGATGTAGTTAAAGGACTCCAGGCCCTTGGTTGGCACTTGTCCTTAGAGGAGGTTTGTTCCACAGTATTGCCTAAAAGGTAGTCAGGGTCAGTGCTGATACATCTTCAGGAGACACTCCAATACCTTTCCCATGACACAGCTCTGGCAGTGCCCCGGTGCTGGAATTCAGAGCCCCAGGAACCCACCACCACTCTGTACAATGTCCTGGATACCAGAAAATACTTGGCAACCAAGAGAACCCCCCATTGTCCTCCTACCCACACTGGCTGCATTGGAGAGAACCGACTCCTCCCCCCACAGCTCTGTAATCTCCACCATCACCATCCTGCTGCTATCCAATCCCTTCTCTTCCTGCAGAGAGTGGCATGATGTCACTCCTGTCAGTCATTAGGTTGCTGGAGATTGGAGCCTTGCAGTTTGAGTTCTGCCAATTATCCTGATTATCCAGCAACTCCGGCCAAAAGTCATAAATTTCCCCCTTCCTGAGACCTCATGATGACCCGACATTGACCTCACAGCACTGCCGCTCAGAGCAAACAAGTCATAGGAAGGATCGTATTTATCATTCCTTGTCTGCCTCCCCCCTCAGTGGTGAATAAATACTGTACAACCAAAAGAAAGCTCTATCTGTCTAAAAAGTGATAAAAATGTAATTTGGGTTCAGTGTTGCATGACCACGCAAGGCCGCGGGAGAAGACACGGAGGTGACACCGAGTTTGGACAGGAAGGGGAAGTGGGGCTCGGAGATATGGAGACACACAGTAAAAATAGGACCATCTACCACCAGCAGCCAATCCTCTTACAGCCCCCTAGAGGAGGGAAATGCGTCAGTGACAGCTGCGGTGATGTAATTCCCGAATGGTGAGACTCATGTGGATGGCCACTTTTCGTCGGACATTTTTGCTTGTATATTATATACAAATGTAGTGTATATGGTTTGCTGTAAAGGAAGTTTGTAATAAATGGAATGACACCATGTGGGTGATTGTTTGTTATCTCCCCTCCCTGCATACATCATGAGATAAACCATCAGTTGTATGATATAATTGGGGGGGGAATTGTACACAATCATCCAGGAGACTACAAGCACCAGACTAACCAGACCATGACACAGCACATACGACTCCTATTCCCAGTGTAAGAGTCCACATCCTGTGGTGGGGGGGGGAGCACTGGAGGGGGAGCACGAGATCTGCACTTTGATGAAAGGAGGAGCACAAGCACTTTATTCCGCACGGTCGGTTGGCGCAGTGTGATGGAGAGGCACAAGCACATCAACTGATATAAAAGAACTATTAATATTGATGATTTTTATTTTTCTATTCAGTAATTTACATGAGGAATTATATTGAATTTGGATGGATTTTCATGCAGTTGACACGTTGGGAATGGGACACAATTTTTGCACAGACTAGGCAGAGCCTAGAATAGTACTGTATATGACCGCAACAATTGTCATCCAAACTGCGACAGCACTGACATCTGAAAAGGTGTTCTGGTCAGGAAGGGGGTGGAAGTGTCCCGGTATTGAGGTGGTTAGATGTCCAGCAACCCTTCTATTCCCCCCTCACATCCACATCCTATTATTGTGTGACCAATACCATCCAAATACACTCACTGGCCACACTATTCAATCCACCTGTACAATTGCTGGGTAATATAAATTGCTAGTCAGCCAATCACATGGTAGCAACTCAGTCCATTTAGGCATCTAGATGTGGTGAAGACAACTTGCTGAAGTTCAAACTGAGCATCAGAATGAGGAAGAAAGGGGATTTAAGTGACTTTGAATGTGGTGTGGTTGTTGGTGCCAGGCAGGCTGGTCTAGGTATCTCAAAAACTGCTGATCTCCTGGGATTTTCCTGCACAACCATCTCTAGGGTTTCCAGTGAATGGTCCGAAAAAGAGAAAATATCCAGTGAGCGGCAGTTGTGTGGAGGAAAATGCTTTGTTGATGTCAGAGGAGAATGGGCAGACTGGTTGATGCGACATTCAGATGGTAGGGTCAGAATTTGGCATAGACAACATGAAAGCATGGATCCATCCTGCCTTGTATCAACGATTAAGGTTGGTGGTGTCATGGTGGGGGGAGATTTTCTTGGCACTAGCAAGGTGGACCTAATAAAGTGGCCGGTGAGTGTAATTCTTACTTTCATTTCCCAAAGTTATCCGTCTACAAGGAGACCTGTATAGATCACATGATGGCACCAATGAGGATGGAGGAGGACCGAGTCACATGACTGAGAAGATACTAAACCTCACCCTGGAGATCATCTACCTGCTGACCGG